ACATTGCATTTTCACATGGACGCTCTCTTGGTCTCACAAGAGCTAGCCTGTTTGTCAGCTGCCACAACCTTGAAAATCTGCAGGATTTTCTGAGTTGCTCCATTTATCATCCAAAAATATCCAAAAAATTGTTTGGTTATCAGGGATTTTCTGAGTTGCTCAATTTATCTCCAAAAATCTTATTTGGTTATCAGGGATGTCCAGAAATGCAATAAAATCCCTCAGATTTTGAATAAAAATGTTCTGGCAGCCATTGAACTACAAATTACCAGCAGGGATTTAGCATACTGAAACTTAAGGTATTGGCTCACGGTTGGCTCACGGTTGGCTCACGGTTGGCTCACGGGTACACTTGGTCGTTCTTTAGGTACACTTGGTCGTTCGGCTATGGCTCACGGTTAGCTCACGGTTGTCTCACGGTAGTATTTCCTGCTGGGATTCTACTTGCAACATCCTGCAACTACTCAGCACATCTAGCAACATGCTATTGAGCTATCGAATTTTGTGAAAAAACCCATCCTTGGCAAGCTTTTGCAGCGTTTGCTGCATGCTTGGCAGGTCAGCTGCGTCCCAAACGTTGTTGGCAGGGACCTCACAGCAAGGGAGTGCAGGGCAGGGAGAAGCAGGGATTGAAAAAGTTTTAAGGACCAGGCCCTTACCCCTTCCTTCAACATGTTGTCCACTGCTTTGTGCAGGTATCCTTTCAGGAAACCATTGTTGGCCTAAGGTTCTCAAGATTAATGAGGACATGTTTTTTCTGGAGTGTAGGTTATATGACATGAAAGCTGAGCCACAAACCATGATTGGCTTGTGCAATTCCAAAAGCCTTGCACCATATCCTTTAGGATAGGCTGCACTTTCCTTCAACTTTGGTCCCCCTGCCCTTTGTATGCACAGAGGCTGCGTGCAGTGGCACGTTTCCAAAAAGAGTATTTAATACACAGGGCTGTCAAAATCTATCAAAATGAAGACAATGAGGCCCTGGCACAACTTTTTTGCCTTGTTTATTGATCCCCTTTCGGACCATCCCTGTGGAACATAGTGAAGCCCGACGCTTCTTGCTCATACGGCGGTACAACCTTCCAATGCTCGGCCTAGGACAGCATATTCATATACACCATAGATATGTATATACTTATATATAGGGTATGCACACACCATATGACCATATGTCACTCATTCATGGCCGAAGCTGAACATACTGAGACACAGACATAGTGCCCCATGCTGCAGAGGGTTTCATGGAGTTGTGTCCCCAAGATCCCATCCAACTCGGCTGTGGACAGAAGTTGCTTGAAGATTTTTGGTATGAAATTTGAAAGAACAGGTTAACAGGTTGGTCCAAAAGCCAAGTTACAAAAAAACACGCCAGTGGCAAGGGAGGATGTACCGGTCTATGTCCATCACAATCTTTCGCAATGGGGGGAACACTTTGGCCATCGAAGTATATGGCTGCTCTAATAACCAAAAGCAGCCCCGCACTGTGGCAATCAGGCACAAAATGCATGCCCTAGCCATTAGCCTGGGCGAGATGCGTGGCACTGCACATTTTGCAACAACCTTCAAAATAGGGATGTCTCAAAACGAGGTGGTATTTTTTTGTTTGAAATTGTTTAAAGAAACCCAAAAAACACCACCTCATTTTAGAGACCCATCATCGCGAAACTTAATTTCAATTGAGAAGCACATTTCCCACAGATACATGGCTCTTGGTGATGTCTCCATAAGGTTCCAATAGCGTTCGCAACGATGTTGCCAAATTCACCCATACGAAAGACCCACATGGGGGGCCTAGGCTGAGGAGCCCCCGGCGGCGTAGCCGAAGCACCAAGCGAATGGCCAGCATGAACCCCAGCCTCAGTAGCCAGGTATGCACCTTTTTAAAGAAATACGGGATCTGGCGATGTTTCCCTTTAAAGTGGATCTTGGGGAGCCAAAAAAGGGTGCATCATTTTGAGACTTCAATGTGTGTGGAGTTCACAGCATGAATCATCTCGGTCAACGAAAATAAAAAAATATAAGTTCTGGACGGGGTTGTCAAGTCATGCTGAGCATTGCTACAGACATCGAAAGATGCCCTAAGCAGGTTCCAGGCACAATCCACAAGGGCTACTTTTTCATGGGCAATTATTCTCACGTTTGCTGGACATATCATCATCCAGTTGGGTGTCTGACGATTTGAGGCTCGACTCTCCTGGCCATTGGCATATGATGGCATATGCATACGCCCCTTTGGCCAGAAAACATGTCAAAGCAAATGGATATTAACTGGGCTTCTGACTCCAATGAGAGGACAAGGACCCACATCCGGAAAACAGGTCCACACACCACAAATCCTTGGCATCATTTTCAGCCACTAGCTAATTTCAAAACAAAAGCTTTGAAGCTGGCACTTGGTATCCCAAAATATAAATTTAAGGCTTGCACACGTTTGCAGTCAGCAGGGGAGCTTTCACTGATGTAGTCAGTAAGGTCCACCCTCAGGTTCATATAAGCAAAGATATATATTGGGGTCACACCTGTGGATTGTGAATATGTTTTCTGCAAACAAAAATGATAGGCTCCGGTTGAAATTCAATATATAATATATATGAGGTGGAAGTGATCGATATTTATTTATATATATATATATTATAACATGCACGTGTTTCTGATTCTTATAGGCTGCTGGGTTTCTGGCACACATTGCGGCATTCCCAGCAGCAAAAGAGCAAGGACAGCTGCCTTGCTCAATGCCAGGGGTGACGGCCGTTGTGTTTTCGACGGCATCCTGAGGCACTATGTGCTGGCCACCTTATACCGCTGATTTGCAGAGGCCCGTTTGGCAGCTGATGAGCCACATGCACAGAAACAACAATCGAATAGCGATCTCAAACATGATGAAGTAATTGAAATTTTCAGACTTTCGAGCTTTGTTGAGACAAGGCTGCAATCGATTTATCTTTTTGACATGACGGCCAAGCATCGATATCGGTCCTCTCAAACTACCGGTCTGCAGTTTCATACAGACATGGCAACACCCCATATGGATCTCACTGATGTCTATGCAGCAAGCTGGGAACGAATCATCACGTCATTTTGATTATTGAAAATGTGTTCATGTCAGAGCCGGTTCTGCCAGCTGCAACCTACATCAAGATCACTTCCCCCTGTCAGGTGCCAAGTTGTTTTAGGCTGGGACTGGCATCCATGTCGCAACCATCATCGCATAGTTCCACCTCAGCAAGCAAATGCCAAGCACACAGGAATGTCAACATATAACAAATTTACCTGCTGGTGACTGACTTCCAAACTCCAAACTTGTGCAAGTTTTTTTCATGTTCCAAATTCGGATGAAGATCAGATCAATTGAGCGCGCAAGCTACTTTTTTTTTCCCATACCTTGAGCGAAACACAGCAGTCAGCCAGCGAGTTTCTTCCGTGTACTTTTGACAGGCATCGAGTCAAAGTCTTGCTGCTGCATCCACTTTCCCTCCTTGAGGTGCCGGGGTGGGGAATGGTCTGGTGATCGCGGTCGTTTCTTCCTTTTCTTTGGTGCTGGAGGAGGTGGCATGTCTCCTCGTGGTGGCACTACTGTTGGTGTAGATGGTGCACATCTAGGTTTTGGCGGTTGACTAGCTGCAGGGGTTGAAGTTGCAGCCCCCATTGGTGGTGGTTGACTAGCTGCAGGTTTAGGCCCCATTGCAGGCTCAATTGGAGGCCCAAAATGCCCCATTGGTGGTGTTGTAGGCATTGCTGCACTTGCCTGAATGGCCCCTGCATCTGCATTTTGCAAAGCAATGGCACCCATTTGAAGCCATAACCAATGTAATCTCCAAAGCATATGAAATAGGCCATCATCTATCTTGTGCAGGTTGGCAAATTTCTCAGGTGGTAAGTTTACCACGTCGGTTTCGATGGAATTTCTCGGCACCCATTTTGGTCGCCCCACCCACGCACCAGATACAGGGAACACAAAATAGCCCTGCTGGGCTTCTTCCATTTGCTGATATGGATCCATCTTTGGGCCAAACACTTTAAAGATCATATCGCAGTCTCAATGTTGTTGCATGCAGAGTGTGTCCAATCCCACCTCTCACTGCAGCATGGTTTTGTGTAACAGAAGTGCAAAAGCAAATAAAAAATAGGTTTTGATGGTATATCCTCATATATTTCCAAGATATCCAACGCAAGTACCTCACTGTTGAGATCTTGGGGCCAGGCGCTTCGGCTATGGTCTCATGCTGTGACCATGTCACTGTGCACCCTCGTCGCACGTTCACCTTCGAGGCTGGCCGGCATTTCAGCTTGCTGGGGATTTGCCCACCAAGTGCGGGGAAGATGTTGGAAAGTCATGTGCATATCACGACCGTTAACCAGTTAAAACTAATTTGGGGGATGGGTATTCTCTAGTGCACATGGCCTCCGGCTGCATCAGCTTCTCACGCTCAGGGTCCACATTGTAGATGTAAAAGCTTCCACGGGACAACCTGAATTCTCAAATATCTCCACTAACAGGATCTGTTATGATGTATGTATTGTTTAATCTGAAATCAGCACTGCACAATGAATGAGCTGACATAATTCTAACAAAAGCTGAGCATTGAACAAAACACCGATCGAAGACACCCTCAGCTGGCGGGTGCCCGTTTCGGAAGGTGCTCTCAGGGTCCACGACCTTGCAAGCACAAATCTTTCTAGTGAGAGACCACATCATTCGCTGATGAAAAAATGATTCCAGTATCATCGAATCTGTAAATAAGCATATGACTTTCTGTTCTCACAGTTTTCGGGCATTGAAAAGTGCTGAAAACCTCCTGGGTTCTCCTCGAGCTCTTGCTTCAAAGAGGCCAGGCGGCCCTGCCAAGTGAAATGCATATATCTTGACAGATAAAAAAGATATGTCACCTATCAGGCCTCTGTTGTCGTTGAAGCCTTGTGTGTGTCTGCGCGGCTGGCAGAGGATGGCTCCTGCAAAGTGGCCAGTCAACTTGAATTTGAGGGATATGGTATACACACATTTAAAATGAGAAAATATATCTCCCCTGCTCCTGCTCTTCAACCTTTGGCTTTTTACTCTTCCTTTTAGGCCTACTTTTTGGCTCTGCAGTATCACCAGGGGGAGGTGACCCAGTCTTGTTCTTTCCTTCAGGCATGTCCTCTGTCTCTTCCTTTTGGTCAGGTTCACTTGGGCAGGGTGCAACCATGGGCGTATCACCTCCCGTGGGCTCAACCTCCTTTGGAGGACCTTTCTTCTTTCCAGGTTCACGTGCGCAGGGTGCAACCATGGGCGTTTCAACTCCCTTGGGCTCAACCTCCATTGGAGGACCTTCCTTCTGGTTGGGCGTATCACCTCCCTTGGGCTCAATCTCCTTTGGAGGAGGAGTGTTTGGAGTGGTCGACTCCCCGGAAACCTTGGCCTTCTTCGGAACCTCCATCTCAAGTCGCTCGGGACTTGGTTGAAGCCTCTTACGTCCTTTGCCTCTACCCTTTCCCCGGCCCCTGCCCCTTCCTTTTCCTCTACCCCTTGGTTCTGAGTGACGTTCAAGCTCTATTTGCTCATCCTCTTGCAACAGGTCTGCGTCCCTTTTAGTACCCTTTGTCCTGTGCCCACCACCTCTGATGAGCATCTGGCCGTGGCTATCCAAGGTTCCATCATCGTGCTTGACAGAATTGCGCATCTTTCTCTGCGCCTTGCACAGTGCTATAAATACGGGGAGATCTAGCTGCAGCTAAAAAAACAGTTCAGCGAGGGAACAAATTGCTCAAGTGTGAAAGCGCCTCCAGCAGGCTTGTCTTGTTGTTAGAATTTTCCTGAAGAGCTAAATCACTGGCAGCTTCCTCTGCAGCCCGTTGCAGCAGATCCTCTGAAGGATCAGGTGGTAACTCAGCAAGCGGCTTGTGGTCCTGCAAAGCCACAGGTTGACAGCATATAAGGTAATTTGTTAGCTTATTATGTTAAGAATGGTGGTCACAACATATATAATATCAAATAAGTTGGGAACCACATTTAGCCCGCACATGATTTTAATATGTGGATATGGAACCCGATTTATGGGTAAATACTGGGTTGGGTGGCCTAAACCCCAACAAAAGGCAGTGAAAAAGTTGGCTGAATTGTCTCTGTCATTTTTTGCCCACTAAGAACCTTGTAAATAAATACCCAAAATAAATCCACCATCACTAATTTCATACACTCCAATGTTACTAACCTCTTGGCTTCATAAAAAACAAGTCAACACAATCCTGAAAGGCTCCCTTGGCAGCTCTTTCACCGGCATCGTCGCTTTCCTCGTCCTTATCTTTCTGGGTTGCTGGAATCTCGGAATGACCTGCCAGGCCACGAGTTTCTTCAACCTGCGATTCCTCCAGGAGCGATTCTGCTGGCTGTTCGGGAGACTCCGGACGTTCTGGGTAGTCTAACAAGGTCAAGCATCCAGCAGCTGGTGATTGGGAATCGTTTGGTTTCTCTGCAGGTAATGGGCTATCGAGTAAGTCCACCACATCAGCAGCACTTGCGCAAGATTCCTGAAGGGAACGGGCAAGAGAAATTTCAAAGGATAAGACCATCGAGATATGAAATATGGATTGCATGCACCAAGTCCACCACCATAGGGGCATCTTCAATCAACTTCTGGTCAGTCACGGTGTCAGTATCCACAGGGACCTCATTTGATGTTAGAGGCAGCTTTGCATACTTAGACGTTTGCATGTTTCCAAGAAGAAGAATATGAAGTCTCGAAAAGGAGGCCAAGTCCACCACCATAGGTGCATGCGAAGTGTAACTAAGTTCACTGCCTTTGGAACTCTCTCCTCAGGCACATCAGCCTTAGGACATTTTGTGCATATTCCTAAATCTACTATACATAATATTATGCCTTAGGACATATTTTTGTGTATTCCGAAATCTACTATGTATATAATATTATATATATATATATATATTTGTACATGCATCTCTCTCTGTTTCACTGAATTCCACAAAAGGTTGTTCATAAAGAGTTGCACATGTTGCTGCAAACTGATGATCCAGGAGTCTGGCTGGATCCAAAGCCTGTGGACCATTCAGCGGCACCTCGACCTGACACACGCTTTCGTTGGAAACAGAAAACATGTAGTGGGGTAATAGTTTCAAAAGTGAACCGTTGGTCCAGGGATCCTAAAAAACAGAGAATTCTTTGACTATTACCCAGCCTCTTCATCATCTGTGCTTTCCTCCTCTTCTTGTTCCTCCTCATACAAGATCTCAACTTCCTCCTCGGCCTCAGGCACTTGTTGGAGCTGACCTGCGCTGCACTTTGGCCACAGATGCCAATCAAACGCCGGCTTGGGTGAAAGACCATTGGTAAAGTGTTTTCGGTATTTTATATCTATCTATCTATCTATCTATCTATCTATCTATCTATCTATCTATCTATCTATCTATCTATCTATATCCATCCATCCATCCATCCATCCATCCATCCATCCATCCATCTATCTGTGCGTGTTTTATGCCCCTATGATCTAAGTGAGACAATGGTCTTAGAAGTGTCACTTGATGTAGGAATGGCTGGGCCCGGGCCTTCCATTGGCAAAGTGGCAGCAGTGTCTGTCGGAGATCCTGTCGGAGCATCCTTCTTGATGAACTTGGTAGGTGCCTTGCCTCTTTTCAAGATGTTGTGTTCCTGGCATGGGTAGTCCAAAGTGCTTGTGACAACAACCATATGTGATCATGATAGGTTTTTCTGTGATAAATGCTTTTGTCAACCTTAAAATAATTTTGAGTGTCCTCAAACTTGGACTTGACAAGGTCTTTGAGCTCTTGAAGCTTTTCAGACCTGCTGTGATTCATAAAGACGGGGCGAGACATGACAAAGATGCTGCAACATCATTCGTCAATGAGTTTTCGAAATATATCCCTGCCTCCCCTTGGATGTCCGCCCAGTTCTAGACAGGACATAGGATGCTAGGCCCCGGTGCACATTTCCTTCGGTCAGGGCCCAGTCCTGCATGCCAATCCATATCGCTGCTTGGACACTTCCACGACGAGAGAGAGAGAGAGAAAGAGAGAGAGAGAGATAGATAGATAGATAGATATACAGATAGATAGATATAGATAGATGATAGATAGATCGATCGATAGATACATACTGTAGATAGATAGACAAATACATAGAGATATATTGAGATATAGACAGATATATATAGATATAGATATATAGATTTATTAATTTATATACAACTATATACCACCAAGATTTTTGAATCAAGTGAACAGCTGGCCTGAACATCGTGATTTGAAGGGTTGATATTCTTCACCAGCGCATGGTTGACCCCAATTTCGGCCAAAGCAACCTGGCAATAAAACTTGGATTTATCTTACTTGCGATTGGCTTGCAGCATGCGTGCATATGCGCCTGGCATTCCCGAGAAGTGGGAAAATCACAGCTGAAGTCACTGAGCCAGCGCTTCAGGAACCCGAAGTTCACAACTTTCTCCACCTGACAGTTTTTTTTGGTATAGATCATTCACCATAAGAGAACATGGGCCAGCCAGGTCGAATTCAATTTTCCAGCAACCAACATGACATCTAGCACCTCGTGACGGTCAATGGACTTGGATGAGCCCACATCAACAAAGCGGAAGGTGACAGGAGGGACCTCCAAAGAAAATCCCAAAGCGCTGGCTCAATTGCAGTACCGATTGACAGTTGCATATTCGAAAATCAAAAAGGGCTAGTGCCTCGCCTTCTTTTTTGCCAAGGTTTCCCTGATGACACCATCAGGGATGCCTTCAGACCTCCCCGAAGCTAAGAACCTTTTGGTCCTGAAATCCTCTTCCTCCTCCAAGATCTTGTTGTAGAAAGCCTGCCGGGGACACAGGCTGATTGAAATATCTGTATACGTCTATCTAGATGTCATCGATATAGGCGTCCAAGACTGAGTATATATTTAATATTATTTAATAATATGTACTATCACCTACCTAAACTATATCGAACCACCCACGACTGTGTATAATTGATCTCAGCACATGCCAAAATATGTATGAGCAGAAGCACATAGCACCTGGCCTTCAGCCGCTTCACGCGGTCACTGTCAGGCTTCGTGGTGGGCATGGTGCCAACCCAAAATCTGATGAACCAAAATGTTCTGAGATCAGAGACGTAATCTCAAAATTACAGCATCAACTGGTTTGATGAATGCACTTAATGTCACGTGGCCAGAAAAATCCAACATTGAAAAAATAGGTGATCACTTCTTAATTGGGATGAACGTCCATGTCAAGGACATGCGGTTGTGCAAAGCAGGGCTGGGGGCACCTGGAAGGTTCTGACCGGAATCCAGACGGCCTCCAGGTCACAAAACCCTCAAAAAACATCTAAAAGTTTAAGAAACAAATTCTAAGAAATATCCAGCCACCTGATTTGATAAGTCTCTGACGTTTCCGAAACGCTCTTCTCATGGGGTATCGCCATGGAGACACCTCAGGGAAGTACATAAATCAGTAGGACTATCCTGGATGTCAGACAGAGATACCAAAAATTAAGTTCCAGGCATCAGTGGACCGATGGGGCACACTGCAAACTCACTAACTACTTTGAGCAATGCAACCAGCTGGCCAAAAAACCCATAAATCCATGAGATTGGTTACACTTAGTCTTTGGGTGAAAGACGAAGTTAAACTCAGTCTTGGACGCCTAGGGTATATATATATATATATTGTTGTTTTATCTTCTCCAATTGTCAGGTTGGTGATTTTTTGTGTTCCATTCATCGTGACGGGTTTAGCGGGTTTAGTGATCATGACACAGTACTGATAGCGCAAGAACATGGCCAGGACATGGCCGGGATGATGGGATTCGGGTTCCATTTTTGTAGACGACCGCAGATGTGTGGCCAGATCAATTAATTTTACCTTCTGGTAAACTAACGTAACTGTAGAAAATCACCTTGTTTTAAGGGTAAATCCACTATAAATGGCCATTTTCAATAGTTACGTTAGTTTACCAGAGGGTAACCATATCTGAATTCCATATGTCCCATTTATACGTGGGTCACCCCCATGATGACCATGATTCCCTTTTAGCCGCACTGGGACCACAAGCTACACATCACGTGAGGTCCGGAAAGTCTGTGAGTCTAGAGAGTCAAAATTGGTTACCTCCAAAACCAGATCATTTACCCTCTGGTAAACTAACATAGCTATGAAAAATTGCCATTTATAGTTCTGGGTTATCCTTTTGGACATTTTTTATTTTTTTGGATTTTTGTTGCTTCTTGCTTAACATCGCCTGGCCATCGCTCAACCTTTGACTTCAAGAAGATCCCTGGGAGCAGCGCTCTTGATTGAGGCACTATTGGCCGGTCGTTTTTCCTTGAGTGTTCATTTCAACCTTTGGGTTGCAGCTTTCAACCCTTCTTTGCGAGTTTTTTTTTGGATGGTGGGGAAGGGTGGACTCATTTCGTTGAAGGGTTCTGCTCCCTGCCACTGTCAGGCATTTTGGCGGCTGCTCGGCTTGCGCGGCTCTTGCGGCTGCTGCGGCGCGCCTGCTGCTGCCTTGGCCTGCAGCTCCTGCGCCCCTGCTGTTGGAGGCATTGCATCATCGCCGGCTGAGCTAGTATGATTTAGGGCCAGGTTTATATTATTATTGCAGACAGATAGATAATAGATTATACTTCATGATATGTGTCACTGCATATATGTCATTCTCATGGGTAATGTATGGTCACTCTTGGTCCAACAGGGCATATCCCACATCATCCTTAGTCAACAAAGAATTATGTTGTCATTCATGGTGTGTATGCGTGAAGACCAAAGAAGCATGAGATCAGAAATTCAAAACATGGACGTATTCTTTAAGGACGAATCTTCTTTTGTTTCAAGCATTGGTGACTAGTTGTTTTTCATATCCCCATGCAGTACTTCCACATGACTTTGCTTGCGCAGGTGGTTGCTTGCGGCTTCAGCGGCTTCAGCGGCTTCAGCGGCTTGGCACTTGCGGCTTCAGCGGCTGCAGCCGAGGCTCGCACCACCGGTGTGGTTGATGACACCCTGGGTATTTGATGCTTTTGAATTACCATTTAACCCCAAAAGCATCCCCAATTATTTGATGCCGTCGAATTCGAAAAATCATCAACGCAGTGAGTTTGACCTACACTCATCCCATGGACGGTTCACCTCTAAAAGAGCAGCTCACTGGCTCAGCGGCTTGGCGGCTTTCGTTTGGCACTTGATCAGTTGTGATGGCGGCTACGCTGCGCAGTCTTTTTGGTGGAGGACGGCAGAGTGCCCAGTCTAGCAACGATGAGAATGCTGAGGGGCCAGAGCCAGGTGACATTGTTGTGACAGGCACGCCTGTTGATCTCGATGGTGAAGCCTTCCTTGCCGTCGCAGCTCGCTGAAAACTTTGAAGCGGCTGAAGCGGCTGAAGCGGCAGCGGTGGCTCAAGCCGAGGAAGCGCTCCAGGTGACCGAAGTCGCACAGAGGGCCCATGATCAAAGGGTCGACATTGCTCAGACCCTGGGGCGCAACTTGAGGAATTTCCAGCACAACATTTGCCTCCTCAACGGTGACCAGATCCAGCGGCTCACCTTGGACATCAACACGGCCCCTTTGTGGATGCAGGAGACGTACGACACGCAGGTGAATTTTACCTGGGCTTTGGCTGGCTTCAATGTCCTGCTGAGCTCGTTTTTCCCTGGTGGAAAAAAAGACTGCGCAAGGCATCGACCAGGTGTGTGCAAGCCCCTAAGCAGCAAAAAGATGCAAAAAGGGCCAAATGGCTGCTGTTATTTTTATGTCTAAAAATGGCAATGATGGGTATCTGTTGTAAAACATTGTAAGATTGGTCGATTGCTTATTCGTCGTATTACTATAGTAATGATAATTATTGTTATTATATTGTGCAAACTTAGTTGATTGTTAACCACCTTGCAAGGTATCAGAGGTAAGTTGTACAGTTAACTGAGATGAAACACCAATGTTTTGAGAGATCCCCTGAGGTATGAAAATCCCCGATGCAACGATGGTGGACCAAGCGAAGGATTTGCTTCAGCAGTTCCCGCAGCGCTCAAGCATTCCTCCGCGCTGGCAAGTCGCTGCTCGCATGAAGGGTAGTGTCGGATGCGAGTGTGGCAGAGAATAGGGCCCCAGAAATTACCACAGGGGAAATTTAAACCAATCAGGGTCCGAAGACATCAACTGTTCAAATCTTCCCTTTTTTCTCGCAGCTTCTCATTAATTCCAGCCGCTGAGATTGCTGCTGCGGCCCGGGAGATGTTGGACCAATTCACGGAAGCTGCGACCTCTGACCAGGGCTGCACGTACGTCGGGAAATTTATGCTCTACCCCTTTGTCATGAATGGGCAAGCAAGGGGATACGATCTGCAAGAAGTAGAGGACAGGGTTGCGCATCGCTGGGAGATGTGTGGCTTAAAAACATGCTTTGATAATAACAACACACGATCTGGAATCCAATAGAACATGGTCCTCACTGGTTTGACTAGCCCCAGGAAGAATAATTGATCGAACTTGCAGCTAGGATCTACAGGAAGCCACCGCAACAACAACGGCAACCACAATAACAATCAACAATCAGAGCCGCAACAAGAAGATCAAACACAATAGCAACAAAGCCTAGAAGTAGCAGCAGCAAGGTGAGGGCCACCAAGTGTACCCACGAACACGACAACCACAACAACAGCGACGAGAATAAGCATCCCCACAACGATAGCAAACACAACAATTACAACTACAATGTGCAGCAAACACAACTACCGCCACACCATGGATAACAAGGTCAACCTGACAGCGAGGACAGCAATGATGACAAAGATTGCAATGATGGCGACGACCACAGACACAGCACCAAACGAAAGCGCATCCACCACAGTGACCACAACTAGCACAACCACGACAATGAGACAAAGCCAACAACCACAACAGCAGCCACAACCAGAACCTTTTTTCAATATACCTACGAAAACGACAGCTCGACATGTGCACAGAAGCAGCAGCAAAAACAAGAACAGGAACAAGAACTGAACAATCAAGACGAATAGCAACACGCATTGGTCTGGAACTTAACAGCAATGAAAGCATCAACGACAAGGACAACGACAACCACCGCCATCACCACCGCCAGCAGCAGCAGCAGCAGCACCACCACCAACAACACCAACACCACCACCGCCACCCCCACTCCGACCACCACCACCACCGCCAACAACAACAGCAAAAACATCATCAATAACAACAAGAATGACAGCAACAAAGATTGCAGCAGTGACAACAACGAACAACTATGATCACAACCATCACAACATCAGCAACTTGACAAGAACAACAAGAGCAACAAGAACAACAAGAGCAACAAAAACAACAAGAACAACAAGAACAACAAGAATAACAAGAACAACAAGAACAACGACAAGAACAAGACGAACACGACGAAACAAGATAAAGAACAAGAACAAGAACAACAAGAACAACAAGAACAACAAGAACAAGAACAACAAGAACAACAAGAACAACAAGAACACCACCACCACCACCACCACCAACAGCAACAACAACAACAACAACAAGAACAAGAACAAGAACAAGAACAAGAACAACAACAACAACAACAACAACAACAACAACAACAACAACAACAACGACAACGACAACGACAACGACAACGACAACGACAACGACAAAGACAAAGACAACGACAACGACAACGACAACGACGACGGCACTGACGACGGCGACGGCGACGGCGACGGCGACGACGACGACGACGGCGACGGCGACGGCGACGGCGACGACGACGACGACACGAACAACACGCAGCAACAACAACAACAACAAAATCAACATCAACAAAAAAAGCAGAGGTGAGAAAGACAAGCACAAAACAGCTGCGATCTGAACAGTTTTGAAGGTTTTTGTATGTGGCAGTGGATTGCTTCTTTTTTCCCTGGCAGGCAGAAGGCTGGGGTGGATGGGCTCTCCCTTTCAACAGGGACGATGGTCTTTTGCTGCACATGAGCCTGTACGGCAAGGATTGCTTGCAGTTTGTGAAGTCATTTCTGAGCCTGTCTGGGCTGGGAACCGTTCGATCGGAACCTCGCAGCTTGGTCAACTTGCAGGGAGATGATGAGCAGGCAATGCCTTTGGAGGCTCGCAACAAGATGCTGTTGAAGAGCAGCTTTTTCCATAAGAGCTTCGAGCCTTCGCACGCATCAATGCAGAAGGCTGGATTGCTTTTTGCGGCCGATTCCGACCACACCCTTCGCAATGAGGAGCTGGTCCTCCTCTCGGTCCTGGAGCCTGGCTATGGGCAGCTGGTGGACGGGGCGAGCATGACCAACCAATCCATTTGGGTCACCTCCAGCGGCTTCTTCTATGTTCTGCGGTTTCTCCCCATCCAGACTGCCAACAGGAAATTCACAACCCCTCTATTCACGCTCAAGGCCTGGACAGCCCCTTCCATTTTTTGATTTTGTGTTTTCTTCAATAAGGTTGACTTTAGAAGTTAAGTGATAGATAACTGATAACATATTAACCAACCCAAGTTCCAGGGCTCGTGCCTCTTCTTGCTTTCTTCCATTCAGGCTGAGATTGTCAAGGGGGACTTTGCCAACGATGACTTCATGGTCCGGCAGAAGAAGGAGGTGGACGTGATGTGGACTGGGACTGGCGGAGATGACTTCTCATTGGTCTGGGATGGCTACTACGTGGATTCTTGGTTTCAAGTCAGCCAGGGCTTGCTGATGCGCTCATACTTTTTTGTTCTGAGCGTTTTTGTGTTAAGCATTTCTAAAAGCATAGCTTTGATCTAAAACTCAAATATGGAACTGTTTCTTGAAATTGCTTGGACTAGTTGGGCCGGGTTTCAAATTATAAGTTTTAATACGTTGAAATTGTTTAATGCAAAGGTTGACATGAATCAGTAACTATGATAGATCTACAATGTTCTTCCTGACAAATTGGCATGTCATTGATTTGGGCGTAATGTGGCATGTCTCAGGAGCGGACTCTGGCTGTGAAGAAGGGCGGGAGCTACCACGTGATGGCCATGCAGCTCCTCCGCCGTTTGGATGCAGTGGGTGCCCCCTACAGCATCGCCGTTGGTCGCTGTGTCAGGGCACCAGCTGGCTTACACCTCGGATTGATGGTAGGGGGAGCCCAGTCATACTGTGTGCAGACCATGTGCCAGACTGGTGACGCGGACCAGAGTCGTGCAGCACACAAGGGCGGGGGCAAGAAAGGCGGCTGGAGTGGCGGTGGTGGCGGCTCTGGCGGCTATCGGCAAAACCGTGATGGATGGGACCATGCACGCAGCGGCTGGGGTGGCCCTGCACCTTTTCGCGGCTCAGTCCCTCCCCCCGGTGCTGCCAACATGACGCCTCCTACTGCTCAAGCGGCTCATGCGGCTCAAGCGGCTCAAGCGGCTCCTGCTGCAGCAGCCCCACCCACGGCCACACAAGCAGCCCCGCAAGCAGCCCCGCAAGCAGCCTTTGCTCAACAAGCTCCACCTCCTGCGGCACAGGCAGACTCTGCTCAACAAGCTCCACCTACTGCGGCTCCCAAGGCTTCAGCGGCACCAGCGGCTCAGCAGGAGTATTGGGGCAACAATTGGTGGGAGGATGGCAGTCAGTGGTGGGACGATCGTCACCAGTACCAGGATGGTGGCGTGGACCCATATGACGATTGGGCAGAAGACGTCTAGATGGCGCAGAGCTGCACAAAGCAGCACTTTTTGAAAAGTCCCAGCATGATCACTGGGCAGATCGAGCTGCATGAAGCTGCAGCATTTCAACACAGACTTTCCATGGCAAGCGCATGGAAAAAAGAAGTTGGCTGTAGCACTTCTCAGTTGAGAGGAGGAAAGGGAGTGGCATCATCGTGCTAATTTCTTATTAGTCAATACCATTGCATGTATTTATTTTAATCAATAGCAGGAATTGTAGAAACCATAGCAGCTGCAGCGTTTCCCCGTGAGCATTTTCTTTTCACGGCCAGATCGGCTTGTTTTTCCCCAATCCTCCATGCCACAGCACGTTGCTGGTCAGGTGCGCCTCTTCCCAAGCTGCAGCTGCTCCAGCGCAAGCGTGCGCGGATCGAAGGCCCTTTGGTTGGATTGCATGGTGCTCATATTATAATGATGATAATTTAATAATTTGTTACATAGTATGATTGAAATTTTGCGCTGAGATAATGTTGGAGAGAGGATGTAAACAGATTGCTGCTGAAAGGATTGGGGCAAACATGGTTCCAATATGACGTCAGAAGAAAGCCCTTCACATGCAGGAACAGGTAACTACTATTAAGCGGGGGTGTTCTACTACAATCACGATAGCAGTTCCAGTGTTTCAGCATGAGCTTCTTTCAGGACCAGATCGCCACCCCTTTTTTTCTCCAATTCACCATGCACGTTGCTGGTTAGGTTTGGCCCTTCCCAAGCTGCAGCTGCTCCAGCGCAAGCGTGTGCGGATTGAAGGCCCTTTTCTGGATTGCATAGTAATTTCATAATAAGTAAATGTAACTTATTGTTACATTCGGTTGGAAGTCTACCCTGAGATAGTGAGAGAGCATGTAAACTCATTGCTGTTGAAGGCTAAGAGGTATTGTCATGTGATTGGGGCCAAGATAGTTTCAATATTTATTGAAGAATTTACTTTACATGCAGAAATAGGCTCCAATGAAAATAAGTTTGTTTTCTACTATTCAACCAAACATACCAGTTGCAGTGTTTCTGCGTGAGTGTTTCCTTCTTTCATGACCAGATCAGCACCTTTTTTTCACCAATCCTCCATGCAATAGCATGTTGCTGGTCAGGTGTGATCATGATCATGATCATGTTGTTGTTGTTGCTGTTGTTGTTGTTGTTGGTCTTTTTGCTGTTGTTGATGATGATGATGATGATGATGACAATGAAGAGCATGTTGCTGATGATACTGCTTCTGCTGCTGATAATGATGGTGATGATGGTGATGATGATGGTGCTGGTGATCATGACGATGAGCATGATGTTGTTGTTGATGGTGATGTTGATCAGGATGGTGATGATGATGATGATGATGAAGAAGAAGAAGATGATGATGATGATGACAACACAGTTTCATTGCACACATGTCCCTGTGAGGTGTGCATTGGTAGCTTCTGCATTCAAGATCTGCGCAGAAGCTCGTGGTTCCCGGTGGCAGCTTCACACTGTGGGCAAGGCTGTTACTGGCTGCAAGCATGGTAGCAAAAAGGTTACAGTGAAGAAAGTAGCGACATGGAATGATTTTTGGCCTTTTGTGCGATCAATTCGCATGCTTTGGCGATCAAGGGGTGTTACAGGGATGTTCTCAAAGGTCGGATGACAGTGAATCGCATTGTCATGTGCCAGCCTCATGCATCAAAAAAGCCAAAAAAGCTCCCCATAGTAATACGCCCTTGGCTTGCAAAAGCCAGGCCCGTATTCGAAAGGGCATTGCCCTAGACAATCTGCTTTGCTTCAGTTTTGAGTATTGAAGGGTCAAAAGCTTCATGATTACGGTCCCGGCTCGTGCAAGCCAGCCCCGTATTGAAGAGGGCATTGCCCGATGTAATACGCCCCTGGCTCGCGAGAGCCCAGGGGGTTAGTTTTGGGGCTGCAATGAAAGGTACAATGAAGACATTCAAGGCTGAAACTCCGCATTTTTGGAATCGAAAGGTAGAATTTCTATGAGTGTATTGCATGGAAGGGTCGAGATTCCTCAAATATAGCAATGAAAGGTTTTCTGCCCACAATGAAAGAGGCATGGCGCCGCTTCCTGTGGATCCTGCTGCTGCTGTCAAGCTGTGGTTGAAGGCCGCAGACTCTGAGCAAACGAGCGAGAAATGGAGCCGTGTCCAGCGAGCTGCCTGCAAAGTTCCTTGGCTTCGTTCTTTGACTGAGTGTGGGGGGTTGCCAGCTGCTTGTTGCACAGAGGCTGCCCAGAGATGCATTGAGGGAAAGGATGGCAACTTGTTGCCGTTGGTGGAGTTTCTGTTCAGAGGTTTCGATCATGCTGAGCTGCCAGTAGCAACTGGGCAGCATTGCATCAGGCCCCTCTTTCCCAGTGTGGTTGTGGTTGTTTGGCATGTTTGGTTGTGCTGTGAGGCAGCCTTGGCTGCCTATATGACTTATCGAGCCGGGTGTCGAATTCCACCATTGGAGAAGGAGATATGTTACCTTCCAGCTGTGCAAAGACATTGATGTTTCGAGACCACATCAGCAAATTTGATTATCATCGTGTTCTAAGGTGAATATCATACATCATATTAGAAACTAGCACATATATGAATAACACACCATTTTACTAATATTGATTTTAATAATAATCAAACATTGTAATGATACATATTGTATGCATCTAAACATGTATTATGTATTATGCATGTATGTATGTATGTATGTATGTATGTATGTATGTATGTATGTATGTATGTATGTATGTATGTGTGTATGTGTGTATGTATGTGTGTGTATGTATGTATGTATGTATGTATGCATGTATGTATGTATGTATCTATGTATGTATGTATGTATGTATGTATGTATGTATGTATGTATGTCTGTATGTATTGGTATGTATTGGAATTATTGTAATGGTATTGTATGTCTTGTATGTATTGTAAGTATTGTATGTAATTGTATGTTTGTCTGTATTGTATGTAATGGGTCTGTAATTGTACTGTATTGTATGTATTGTATGTATGTATGTATGTATTGTATTCTTTCTTTATGATATTTTATTTCTTTAGTATTGTTGTATTGTATTTTATTTAATTGTAGGTTTTATTTTACTGTGTATTGTTCTTTTTATTTTATTTCTTTTCTTGTTCTTTGTTATTGTATTTTATTGTATGTCATTGTATTGTATTGTATGTAAATTGTGTTTGTTTTAGTTGTATTTTGTTGTATTTATTCTTTGTCGTTGGTATTGTAAATTGTAATTGTTTGTTTGTATGTCCTGTATTTCCTGTATAGTATGTATGTATGTTAATGTCTGTCTGTATGTATGTATGTAGTATTATATGTATGTCTTCTGTATGTCTTTTATTTCTTTTATTTATTTGTCTTTATTTTATGTACTTGTCTTGTATTGTTATGGTTGTAATTGTAATTGTATTGGTATTGTATTGTATTGTACTGTACTGTACTGTATTGTATTGTATTGTATTGTATTGTATTGTAATGTCTGTCTGTCTGTCTGTCTGTATGTATGTATGTATGTATGTATGTATGTATGTATGTATGTATGTATGTATGTATGTATGAGAACGATACATAACCTTTCAAACCTTTCCTTTCCCTATGCACCCAATGTTTGACGCAGAAGGGCCTGGAGGGGGCACCCAAGCATATCCTGGGGCAGCAAATCCTCTGGCAAGGACCCTGGCAACTTGATGCTCCAGATTTTACACACTGAGAACCCTTTCCTCCGAATGCAAGCAGCTCCCTTCAGTTTTCTGGACAGCTGTAGAGGGAGCTTTTTGCATTCAGTGACGAAGCACCGAGCCTTGATTTTTCTTCTGGAAGCATAGGCGTGCAGCTCATGCCTCCATGCAGACATTTCATGACTGCATCAATATACCTTAATTAGCTTTCATAAATTTGCATTGCAAAGCAATTTTCTTCACAGCGCATTGCAAGTCGCATTCTCTGCGCAAGCTGTCGGGGCCCATTGTAACCCATAGTCGCAATGCATATGGCATGGCACCATGTGTTTTTTTTCGCTGCGGGTTGTCCCCTAAGGAGGTGACAAGGTGACAGGCTATTTGATGGATATCTTGAAGATGCCATACATGCAACGCCTTGAGAGTCGTGAGCAATTGGGTATCGTGATTCTGACTGCATACCTTCGATCCCCTGGCTTTGCTGAGTTTGTGCTTGAAGCCAGTTCGCAGCCGCGATTTGCTTTGCTTGCAGTTGTCCACAATTTCTTTCGAGACACACAAGGGGTCGGGCAGCGAAAGGCTTACATGCCAACCCGGGTTATCTCCAAGCATGGCACTAAGCTGCGGCCAAATCGTGATTTGGGAAAGTTGCGCCTTGCAGGGGCATTGAGCTTGTGTGGCCAATTTCTGGATGGCTCGCTAGATGCCATTTTCGTGAATGACAGCAAGAAGTCATGGCTTGTGGATCCGGATTTGCTCCCCGTCATGAGCATGTTTCATTGGGCCTTGCTTTTAGTTGCCAATGTTGGGGCTGCGATGTTGTAAGGTTGTAGCTTACCACTTCTTCACACTAATACTCTTTCGCATTTACCAGGTTGGACGCCATTGAGTGCGCCTCATCAAAGCTCATGGGCACCCATTTCCTGCAGACTTTGGAAGCTCTGGGACGTTTGGCGCGAGCCAGCCAGGAATGCAGCTCCCAATGGAACCACAGCTAAGAACATCAGGTACTAAGAGCATCATGCCTTCCAGAGTCAGTTCATACCATTCCTCCTTAGTATCTGAGGAACGGTAGTTACAGCAAGGTGTTCGGCCAATGGTGCGGCTCTGCGGCTGAAGATGTTTTGGGGAAAGTGGTTGAGCATTTGAAGTCTTGGCCGAACCAGCGCTGTCCAAAGATGCAGGCTCTCCAGGCTGAGGTTACCAGCCACATTTGTGTGGTAAATGCTTGCAAATGCATCCACGTTCTTAAGACACTCAGCGCATTGGAGACTGGAAAGCTGGCCTTATTCCCAAACATCGATTGTTCGTGGCATTTGATTTGTCCTCAGGAACTTTGCGTTTCTCGGTCGCTGTGTCTTGACTGAAAAAGTACTCAGGTCCTGTGCATGTATTTATTTGCACTCCCTGCTCAGGAATTTCTTTATTATGTTCAGTTGCCATTGGCTTGGCAGCCTGAGGCAATTGGAAAGGGAAAGACATCCCTGAGGCTGCCCCTAAAATATTGGCTGCCCTGGGCTGAAGCAAGGTGCTCAAGTTTTGAATTTTCAAATGTGAAATGGAACCCTTTCCCATGCGAGGGCATGCATACAAGACCTTTCCTTTCCCTATGAACACCTTTCATTTCGTGAATTGCTTTATATTTCGCATTCAAAGGTTGAATCGATGTCTGGAAGGGTGCTCATTAACAGAATTCTGTTGTGAGGACTGTGTTGTGGATTTCCCGGTTGCTGCCTCTTTCTGTGACAAGGTGGCTAATTAGCGCTCTCTGGCCGACTTCTCAGAAATATCCAATCCTATGTGAGCCGAAGTAGTGCAGGCACCAACTTGGCGGTAGAACTACTTTTGATTGTGTTTCGGGCTTTGTCATTTTGAACCAGGCGCTTAGGTTTTGAAGTTGCGAGTGTGAAATCACACATTTCCCACGAGAGGGCATGCATGTAAGACCTTTCCTTTCCCTATGAACACCTTTCATTTCGTGAATTGCTTGATGTTTCGCATTAAAAGGTTGAATAGATGCCTGGAAGGGTGCTGATTAGCATGCAGAATTCTGTTGTGAGGACCGTGGTGTGGATTTCTCGATTGCTGCCTCTTTCTGTGCCCAGGTGGCAAATTAGCGTTCCCTTGCCAACTCCTCAGAAACGTCCAATCCTATGTGAGCCGAAGTAGTGCAGGCACCAACTTGGCGGTAGAACTACTTTTGATTGTGTTTCGGGCCTTGTCATTTTGAACCAGGCGCTTAGGTTTTGAAGTTGCGAGTGTGAAATCACATATTTTCCCACGAGAGGGCATGCATGTAAGACCTTTCCTTTCCCTATGAACACCTTTCAGTTCGTGAATTGCTTGATGTTTCGCATTAAAAGGTTGAATGGATGCCTGGAAGGGTGCTGATTAGCATGCAGAATTCTGTTGTGAGGACCGTGGTGTGGATTTCTCGATTGCTGCCTCTTTCTGTGCCCAGGTGGCTAATTAGCGTTCCCTTGCCAACTTCTCAGAAACATCCAATCCTATGTGAGCCGAAGTAGTGCAGGCACCAACTTGGCGGTAGAACTACTTTTGATTGTGTTTCGGGCCTTGTCATTTTGAACCAGGCGCTTAGGTTTTGAAGTTGCGAGTGTGAAATCACATATTTCCCACGAGAGGGCATGCATGTAAGACCTTTCCTTTCCCTATGAACACCTTTCAAGTCGTGAATTGCTTTATGTTTCGCATTAAAAGGTTGAGTAGATGCCTGGAAGGGTGCTGATTAGCATGCAGAATTCTGTTGTGAGGACCTTGTGGTGGATTTCTCGATTGCTGCCTCTTTCTGTGCCCAGGTGGCTAATTAGCGTTCCCTTGCAAACTTCTCAGAAACGTCCAATCCTATGTGAGCCGAAGTAGTGCAGGCACCAAACTTGGCGGCAGAACTACTTTTGATTGTGTTTCGGGCCTTGTCATTTTGAACCAGGCGCTTAGGTTTTGAAGTTGCGAGTGTGAAATCACATATTTTCCCACGAGAGGCATGCATGTCAGACCTTTCCTTTCCCTATGAGCACCTTTCATTTCGTGAATTGCTTGATGTTTCGCATTAAAAGGTTGAATGGATGCCTGGAAGGGTGCTGATTAGCATGCAGAATTCTGTTGTGAGGACCGTGTTGTGGATTTCTCGATTGCTGCCTCTTTCTGTGCCCAGGTGGCTAATTAGCGTTCCCTTGCCAACTTCTCAGAAGCGTCCAATCCTATGTGAGCCGAAGTAGTGCAGGCACCAAACTTGGCGGCAGAACTACTTTTGATTGTGTTTCGGGCCTTCTCATTTTGAACCAGGCGCTTAGGTTTTGAAGTTGCGAGTGTGAAATCACATATTTTCCCACGAGAGGGCATGCATGTAAGACCTTTCCTTTCCCTATGAACACCTTTCATTTCGTGAATTGCTTGATGTTTCGCATTAAAAGGTTGAATAGATGCCTGGAAGGGTGCTGATTAGCATGCAGAATTCTGTTGTGAGGACAGTGTTGTGGATTTCTCGATTGCTGCCTCTTTCTGTGCCCAGGTGGCTAATTAGCGTTCCCTTGCCAACTTCTCAGAAACATCCAATCCTATGTGAGCCGAAGTAGTGCAGGCACCAACTTGGCGGTAGAACTACTTTTGATTGTGTTTCGGGCCTTGTCATTTTGAACCAGGCGCTTAGGTTTTGAAGTTGCAATGTGAAATCACATATTTCCCACGAGAGGGCATGCATGTAAGACCTTTCCTTTCCCTATGAACACCTTTCAAGTCGTGAATTGCTTGATGTTTCGCATTAAAAGGTTGAATAGATGCCTGGAAGGGTGCTGATTAGCATGCAGAATTCTGTTGTGAGGACCGTGGTGTGGATTTCTCGATTGCTGGCTCTTTCTGTGACAAGGTGGCTAATTAGCGCTCTCTTGCCGACTTCTCAGAAATATCCAATCCTGTGTGAGCCGAAGTTGACGGCAGGGCTACTTGTATTTCAATGCTTGTCAGCTTCATGCCCCTGGCCAAGCATCAGGTCCCTTGCCACCACTTCAATCTGCAGGTTTCACTTGCTGGGAACCCAGCTTCTTATAGTTGAAGTGAGGCGTTCAGCTAGCCACAGAGGTTGCTAGATTTTGTGCTTTGCCAGCCTTCTTTTTTGGCTCAGCGGCCCAGCGGTTTCGCGGCTTTTCCCACTAACCATGGCTGCTACACCTTGGAAGCCTACTCTCCGTCTCAAGGGCAAGCATTCAGTGCAGGAGCATCGGCAGATGGTTCGGAATGCAAGGCCCAAACGGAAACCCACATTCCGTATGAAGGCGGTTGCTGAGGGCATGGCCCCAAAAGCTTGCCGGCCATTTGCCCTCTTCATGAAGAACTGCTGTCGAGTTCGGAAGGGCGCTTCAAAATCTGAACACATCAGAGAGATGAAGCGTTTGGGGAAGGCCTGGAAGCAGCTCTCAGAGGTTGAACGAGCAGAGTACCGCAGGCAATCGCAAGATCTCTTCCGAGAACAGCGCTCGTGTTCGCGCAGTCATGGTATTCCATTCCGGTTCAGCACGGCAGGCGAGGAAACTACCTCCGCAGATGCCGCAGTGGAAGATGCGCAACCAGAGCAAGGATCCCGCATTGGGAAGTTTCAATGCTGGCAGGAGGAAGGATCTAATTCCTGTGTGTATGTGGGAGAAGGATCTTATGGCTGTGTGCTGCTTAGCACCAACGATGTGGGGAGAAAGGCTGTGATCAAGGTGTTCAAGCACTCCAGCAGGGAGGATGATTTGCAGTATGAAGTTTCTGTCCTGCGGCGCTTGGAGAAAGAGTTGCCCCTGAGCTGCCAATGCTGGTTTCCAGACATTTTGGCTGTAGAAGAGGAGCGAGTCCCTTTTCCACACATCGCATTAGACTATGCAGGCCCTAGTCTGCAGAAAGTGCTGGCGACTTCCGGCCCCTTGAGTCATGGCAGCGCCTGCTCATTCGCGCTGCAGCTGAAAGCCGCTTTGGAAGCCATTCACGGCATTGGTATTGTTCACCTCGATGTGAAGCCCGGAAATGTAATTTGGTGTGAAGATCCCTGGAAGCTGAAGCTCATCGACTTTGGCATGGCTGAAGCATTTTCCCGCCTCTCAGCGGCTTCAGCAGCTTCAGCGGCTTCAGCGGCTTCAGCGGCATTGGCATGGCCGAATGGTTTGAGATTCAACCAGTACGTGACTGGCCCATACAGGCCACCAGAGCTTTGGGGCCTGAAGCCTGATGAGTTCTTTCATGCACTGTCCCCTTCAGTTGATGTTTGGTCATACAGCTGCACGCTGTATGAGGCAGTGACCGGTCGCATCCTGATGAGCCCATTGAAGAGCTGCCCTCCTGCTGGCACAACGAAACAGGTTGTGCAAGCTTGGTGCCACTCTTGGCATTCGATCCAGAGCAAGGGGAATCGCAGACAGCCTCGTCCAGACCCGCTCCACCACTTCAATCTTCGCCTGATTCGCTCAGGCATATGGAAAGAGGCAATCATGAAAGCCTTAAATCCAAATCCGAAGCTGCGGGCTTTGCCAGAAGCAATGCCTTCTTGAGAGATGTGCTGTTTCATTTGGGGTTGATTTGGGGTAGATTCGTGCCCTTGTCGGGTGGGGCCCGTGAGGCTGCGAGTGAAAAGGCAATGCAAAAGGAAATTGTTTCCTTGAAGTCTTCACAGGGTTTTGCATTTGTCGTTGAGGTACCTTTCCGTGTAGACGATTTTCCTTTTATTCCCTGCATCTTATCGTGGAAGGGCTAGAGAACCGTTTCGAAGGTTGCTAATTATCTTGCCACTGGCTGTTGTGCGACATGCATGTCGTCATGCGCTGATGTGTTCAGGTGCTGCCGAGCCCTTTTTCATGCTGTGGCCCTAGAAGCTGAGAAGAAATCAACAGTCAGATTCAATGTACCGGTTGTGATGTTTCTATGATATGAATCAGATGGTCCTGGAGGACGGTCTTTCTAGAACATGTGACACCCTTCAGCGCCGTCAGCATCCACAGCTCAAACCTACATCTGTTCACATCTTGCTGTGGCGAGCGGCTTCTTGGCTTCGCGGCTACCATGGCGAAAGCAGAGCCCGTCACCGTGGGTTACATGGCTTTGACCGAGGCTGAGTTCAACGAGGCCAGGTGGTGTGATGAGTTCGATGACCCACATCCGAGGCAGTGGCTCTTGAGCCATACCCCTATCAAAGCCATTGCTGCAACTCGTAAGCACCACGTTCGGCAGCTGGGCGTGACGTTGTCACATGGCACCCCTCCAGGCCCAAAAGCACTCCTCAAGCGCCATGAAAGCGGCTCCCAAGTATTCACTGTGATGTGCGAGCCGAACTACATGCTGCTATGGGTGCGAACCAGCACGAATATTGCAGCTTTAGTGGCAGAAGGCAAGTTGACGGTCACCAAGGATGGTGGCTTTGTCTTGCAGCGCTCTTTCGACCCCTTCCACATGGACTTCGAAGAGGGTTGGACTGCGGACTGGCTGTTCCTTTGCTGACCTGTTAAATTCGCAAGGGCGGGAGGCAAGCACCATTAATTCAGCATTATCTGACATCAACATGGCAATGGGATCCACCCCATTGTGCACCGAACATTTACTGTATTACTTGGATATTCTATCTATCTATCTACCTATCTATTTATCTATCTATCTGTCTGTCTGTCTGTCTTTTGATCGATCTATGTATTTATCTATTTATCTATCATCTATCTATCTATCTATCTACCTACCTATCTATCTATCTATCTATCCATCTATCTATCCATCTATCTATCCATCTATCCATCTATCTATCCATCTACCCATCTATCCAGCTATCCACCTATCCATCTATCCACCTATCCATCTATCCATCTATCCACCTATCCATCTATCTATCTTTCTATCCATCTATCTATCTTTCTATCTATCTATCTGTCTGCCTGTCTATCTATCTATCGATCTATCTATCCATCCATCTATCTATCTATCGATCGATCTATCTATCTATCTATCTTTCTTTGGTTCTTATATTATATATATTATATATATATATTTAGATAGATATATATTTGCAGTATATAGAGATCTGTAGACTCATGCATGTTCCCCAACCTGAAAGGCCTTTGATTAAATGCGTGTTTTTTTAAATCCTCTGTCTCCTTTTTTTCCCTGTTTTCTTGAGGCCTATGACATTTCTTCCATACAAGCTGGCAGATTCTTCCAAGTGCTTTCTCTTCGCCTCGGATCAGCCCAAGGGAAGCCCGAGTGGCTTTGTGTACTACCTGAGCATCCCTGACGTCATCCAGACCATGATGGATTGCGGCGTGAGCATGGACAGGGAGATGGTGCTTCGCAATTTGCTGGACAGCGACGTGACTGCTGACTTGGCACTCCTTCTCAAGAAGAACCATTGGTCAGCTGATGTGACGGCGCCGTTGACCGCTGTGATCGTGAAAGATCGCGCGGCTGTTCCAATGTTTGCTTCTTCGGTTGTCGCTCAGACCTTGGCCTTCTTCGCCTTCAGCCAGCATGCCATCCAACAGCAAGAAAATAAAAGTGTCTCCTTGCTTTTGCTGACGCTCAGGACAGATTCATTGCTTGGTGGAGCAGCTCCTTTCACGAACCCTTTGGGCAGCTTCTGGCTAGCTGATGTGTCAACCTTGCTTTCCCTCCTCAAGGATGGCAAGGCAGCTTTGGAAGTAGAGCCGTTTCACATGAGCGTCAACAATACCCAATCGAAGAGGCTCTCACATTCAGATGTTCGTGCTGAAACGAAAGCTTTTGGCATGCAGAAGCGCAAAGCAATGCTGGAGGAATGTGTCTCCTTTTTGACACTGGACTTGGAGAGGAAGAAGACCCAGTTGAAGAAGATCGAGCAGAAGATGGAGGAGCAAGCAGCTGCAGAGGCTAACGAGACAACTTCAGGACCACCTCCTGCTGAGAGCTGAGCGGCTCCTGCGGCTTCCGCGGCTTCCGCGGCATTTTGGGATCAACTCAGCGCAATGATGGCTCTGGAAGTTTTGAAATTTGCGTTTAGGTGAGCTAATAAGCTTGAATCTGCTTGGATCAAAGAAGCAATTCCGCAGCCTTTCTGATGCAAGACATGTTTTCCCAATTAATAGTGTCTTAGATTTGCAGCTTCCTGCGCTGCTTCGGCCTCATAGATTTTCTACAGGGTTCACTGGCTCAAGCGGCTCAAGCGGCTCGAGCGGCTCACTGATTTCTTCGGTGTGGGCGCAACGCTGCCGCGCGCAGATTAATAAGCGGTCATGGCTCCTGTGCCATCGGTCCCAGAAGATCCTCGTGTCCGGCCCTTGTTTCCTTAACGTATCATCTCAACACTAGTGCCCGACATGTATGTGCTTGAGGCCAGTGCGATGCAGATGATGGGTCAAGTCATCCCATGGGCCAGGGCCTCATTGGGAGTCAAGATTTGGAAATTCATGGTGCCAGTCAGTGTCCGCAACTGTTTTTGGAGTACACTAGTCATTCTCACCCGATAAGGTCAAGAAGGAACTTCCTTCTAAATGCGCCGCTGCAAAAGCGATGCATAAAACACATCCGCTGACCATTTCAGCAGACGTGAAAGAGAAGGATTTGAGTGGATACAAGGCACAGTTCTTGCCTGCATTTGTCATGCGTTATTGAATATGGGGCTTCTGCTTTCTAGAGCGCTAAGTTTGTGTGCAGGCACCCTGGGATGTAGAGACTTGCAAGACTTCGATCAAAGTGAACGGCCTCTACGAGGCAGCTGGCCTGGCCTTGTGGCTGCGGACAGGTGTGTTTCGAATTGCAAACACGCCCGAATGGGAGACAGCCTCAGGCGATGTGTCCGTGGAGACTTTGAAGAAGTTTGCCATTTCTTTCTTCAGCAAGGATTCCGCGATGAAGGCCTCAGTGCAACGAGGACAGAAGAAGAGCAGAACAGGACGAGACCGCATTGTCTGGCCCATTGAGATGATCGTTGTCAGTGAAAGCGGCACAGACTTGGAGAAGGATGGTGGCTTCGATTCTTCTTTGAGTCTGGTGGGGTGCCATTTCGTTCTGTGGGCCTGGTACTATGCGATGTTCCAAGCTTTGCAGACAGGGGCTCCTAGCCTAAAATTTCGTGTTACACAACAATTATTCTCTTCGTGTTTCCTAGAGACGACAAATTACATCGCCTTACTTGTATAACTTTTTTGTATGTGCATTTCAAGTCACAATAAATTTCCAACATTGAGCAAAAG